GGTGAGAATCAATATGCCCAAACAAGCAGACGAAAATTGGAATTCAGATTTCAGACCCCTAATCTGCAGCAACGCGGGCCCACAGCACTGAACGTGCACGACCTCAAAATGGCTGGACTTCGGGCGTAACGCGTCTCCACTTGACTTGGAATTGGTGGTTCTCATGCTTAAATCCCAACATACTACCACCAAGAAAGGGGTTTTTTGAGGTTAAGATTAAAATACCGATCTCTCAACTTTCAGATTTTAGCTGGATCTATTTATAAATTTTAAAAAGTATTGAAATTATCTTTAAATTTTTATTTTTTATATCAATTTCATTCTTCGGTTAATTAATTGCTAACATAGCCAACATTTAAGTTAATCTCAATATTACTTGGATATGCCACATAAACCAAAATGCTGACGTGGTAAAACTTTATAATTGGTGTGCATTAAGACCCACATCAATTTCGTATTTTGATACCAAATATAATTTAAAAATAAATTTTTTTATATAACTTTACATGTAAGGATGACAATAGGTTCTATAAGATAAAAAAGTGCCTTCCTAACCTATCCCCAGAAATTGTGAGAACAGTGATCCTCACAGAAATTTTTGACAAAAAGTAGAATTTGCCACTCATCCTTGTTACCAATGTTTTGAAAACCAACCCGAAGCTCAAACCATTTTGATTTATGATTTTTGGTTTGATTGGTTTGATTGGTCTAATTAATTAAATTATTCAAACCACTTTAATTAATATGAATAAATATAATGTTATGTAGTTATCTGACGTAACAAGTGCAGTGGTTCTATTGGTGTGTCACCTTACTCATTGTGGTTTGAATTGTTTGAATCAAATTAAATTTTTGATTATTTAAAAATTTTTTGGATAAAATTTTCATACTAAATCTAAATTGGACATTTAATTCAGTTATGATTTTGATTATTTAAAAGTATTCGTATAATTTGGTTAATTAACTGAAATAACAAAAAATTTTATGTATCAACATTAATATGTTATTATTATTTTTCATGTTTAGTATTAAAATCATTTCTTTTTAACTTTGATTTTTTTTATCTTTTTCTTTTAGATTCTTGTCTATAAATTTGACAAAAAAGGAATTTTTTCAAAAAATATAGTATTTATATTAAAAAGTTCTGGATTATTTAATGGCTCATAACGATAATTTTTAGATATTGATCAATAACCATATTCAAACCAAAATTAATTTTGATCATTTTAATTTTATTCAAATTTATTCAAATATCTGAATTATCTAAACCAAAATACAAAAATTTGGATTGAAAATTTGGATATATGAATAATATCAAGAATGTGCCCACCGCTTTATCCCTCCTTGAATTCCTACTTTGGCAATCAAGGCATAATTCAACGTTATCATAGAAGCCGCTTGGTAGAGTTTAGATAGCGCTTGTTTTAACTTTTAAAAGCACTATCATCTTTTATAAGTTTAAAATTTTGTTGAAAGAAAATATTTTAAATTAGTTTTTTTAAGTGGATTTTAAATAAATTTCAAAAAAAATTTATACATTTAATCCTTTTTAAAACAAACTCAAAACCCACTTTGTTAAAAGATAATTTTTGAATTTTCTTTTGACAAAATTTTAAATTTATAAGACATTAATAGTATTTTAAAATAAATATTTTTTAAGTTCCACCCAACGTCGTTTTCTATACAGTTCACGGCAAAGTCCAGTCTGTTTTGTTCTCCTTGTCTTCATTGTTTCCTTTCAGTCTGTTCACCCAAGATGCAACTATGAAAGTCATCCGCAATTGCAATGAGAAGCCTTGGAGGAGGTTTTGAGGAAAGCGTATTGGAGAACGTAAGAAACGCGGTATGCCAGTAGGCCATTTTTGTCTTCTATAATTAACATTTTCTCAATCTTTCCTTCCGTGGAAGTCAGTCGTACGCCGTATGCAGCAGGTCTTTGCTTCCGTGGAAGTCAGTCAATCTTTCTTTCTTTACGCGGTGGGCGTGATTTGCCACGAAACACCGTACGTTGCAATCACAAGTTGATTTCCGTTCATGCATAAATTTAAAACTAGAGAGGTAGTCAGACAATAATCGTATAGGAGAAGAAACTAAGGAGAGAAATGACCGAAGAGATTTACATGAAGACTGAAAAGAAAATTTTGACTATGTAGAGAATGATTACAATGAGAAGCCTTCCTTATGTTCTTGTAAGTCAAAGCTGAAGCTTCATTGCATTGACACAGATTCATTTCCAGGTGAAGTAATTAATATCATATTAAATTTGATGAAGCTA